GATCTTTTTGCTTGCTCAATGACAACTTAAAAATTCGGGATAAAACCACTGGACCTGAAATGTGTTTAGTAAAGCAAGTGAAGAATAATTGCATTTCACGAGTAGAATGTGATATGATGGGAGTCAAATGTTATCTACTTGAGATTCAATCTCAGTTAATGAAAATTGAGTGTTATATAACTCACCAAAGAAATTAATTTTTCCTGGAGTGAGTGAACCTAATTAAAATATCCTTTTATCACCTTTCACATATAAACTATAAAGCCAACAATTTGCAGTTCTTGCCAGTTGTTTTTAATGTGGTATATTGAGACCAATAGGCCGTCATGTGTCAACTTTCTAAAGATCATATTCCATATGGAAAAATGTGCAGTGCTTTTTTAGCAGAAAAGGAACTATTTATTCCTTGCATTATGTAGTCGCCTCAGACTTCTTATGAACTTAATATCTCTTCACAAGCTGGTGGCCGAGTCACTTTTTGCCAAAGTTCTTTTGTCAGGGTGGAATGAAATATAAAAGCTGTCGACTGAATTTTGACAGTAATAATTATACGTAACAACAGTTATAAATTCCTTTTTTTGTGGCTCTGGGTCTAATCTTTCATCTAAACTCTCTGTTCTATTGTAGCTATTCAGGGAATTCTATTTTGCCTGTTTCTATGCAGCCTATCATTTTGTGAAATGAGTTCATAATGTAGTTCGTTGAAAAAGAACTTGAGATTTTTGTAATTGTTTTCTTTTGCCATTGTTCATTCTCCTTTTTAAACCTCTTACCCTACTATGAGCCTGGATGGAGGAGGAACAAAGAGAAGGCATATAATAGGTCTCTGTAAAAGAATGGTCGCCATGGAGATTACTATTATAATTTCTACTATTTTCTTCACTGGATAAACTTTCTAGTTTCTGAACGTATAATAGTTCAAAACAGGAAAGTAGTAATAAAAATATCAAGTGATGTAGTCTTAGAATTTTCAATTTTATCAAGTGAAAATGACTGTCATGCTTTTGAATTAAAAGTTTAAAGATACTGTATGAAATTTGAGATGAAGTTAAGAAGGTTTGTTATGGATTGAATTGTGTCCCCCCAAAATGGCTGTCAACTTGGCTAGGCCATGATTCCCAATATTGTGTGATTGTTCACCATTTTGTCATCTGGTGTGATTTTCCTACGTGTTATAAATCCTACCTCTGTGATGTTAATGAGGCAAGACTCCATCTACAGGATTAGGTTGTGTTTTGAGTCAATCTCTTTTGAGATATAAAAGAGAGAAGTGAGCAGAGAGACAGGGAGACCTCATACCACCAAGAAGGAGCACCGTGAGCATAGCACATCCTTTGGACCGGGGGTCCCTGCACTAAGAAGCTCCTAGACCAGGGGAAAATTGATGACAAGGACCTTCCCCCCAGAGCAGACAGAGAAAGACTTCTGGAGCTGACACTCTGAATTCGGACTTCTAGCCTCCTAGACTGTGAGAGAATAAATTTCTCGTTTTTCAAGTTATCCACTTGTGGTATTTCTGTTATAGCAGCACTAGATAACTAAAACAAGGTTATTTCATCTTAATTAAGTACATAAAATACCAAAGTTTATGTCAAAAATAAGTACTTTTCACATGGCTTTACAGTACTAAGTTTACTAACCTTTTTCTCACTGAGTTCTAGGAGTATTTAGAAAAAACTACAAGTACTACTGAAACATTTATTTTATTGAACCATGAAATTTAACTATGAGTTCCCTTTGGAATTTTTTTGATGTGTGTCACTTGCACAAATTTGGAAACTCAAAGAAAAATCCAAGCATACTAGACTGGGAAAAAAAATAATCCCTGAAGTATGATTTATAGATCCTTCATATTATAGGCTGAGTTATGTGGGAAACTATGAAACCAAGAGAAACTATTGTAAATTAAGGAGGAGACTTAGTAATTTATATTATTTATATACATTTATACCCTTTTCAGAGTCAGTAAGCATTCTGCATAATCAAAATTATTGCCCTTAATTTTAAAATTTTTCTAGAGGAAAATTCTTATTTTCTAAATAGATTTTATCCTTAAATCTTTAAAATTCTGTATTCACATCTTAATCTAGAATATTTTATAGTTTTGATTGTGGTTGGGTACCTACATAATCAGATCCCTAGTGAGGCTGTAAACTTTAAATACCTAAGCCAATTATCTGTTCAGAATTATATCTTATCTAATTCGTTAAGTCCTCATCAACTGGACCAATAAACAACATCATGATACGTGGAGAAAAAATTGAAGTTGATGATTTTGGAAGAAGCTGCATAGCCCCAACTCACTATCATTACTCCCTATTGCTAACCCCCGCATTATGTTATGATCTTCTTTTTCCCTCCTGTTCCAGTCTCTATAAAAGGTTTAAGATTAAAAGATCTTCCTCCCTGGAGGGTGGTAAACAAGTGATAATGATCTAGGAATGACAAACCGAACAAAGCACGCATCTTGGGACAAGAAAACCAGGATGTCGCCAGCTAACTCCCAAGAAAAGTTTAAGTCATCTTCGATGTGACCACCTCAAGGGGGAACTCACACAAACTTCTAAGACCCATAATCCTGTCCCTGTAAAAGCCTTCGGCTGATTTCCAGTTGGAGAGACAGGTTTTTTGGAGGAATCTATTCCCCTTTGTCTACTATATATCGATACGTAATAAAACTCTTGCTGCTCACCTCACCCCATCTCAGAATTGACTATTGCGGCAGGCGGTTCCAATCCGGGTTATTGCTGTATCAATTTCATTCTACATGGACCAATAGTCAATGTCTATGGAAGCAGTAGTCGAGAAATTAAACAACATATTGCACTCAGCAAATCTACTGCAAAAGATATCGTTAAAGTTTTTAAAAGCAAATATATCACTTTGCTAGTTAAGGTGCCTCTGACCCAAGCCATAGTCTTTCAGTTGCTTCATAGGCATGTGAAAGCTGAACAATGAAAAAAGAAGACAGAAGAATTGATGCATTTGAATTGTGGTGTTTGAGAAGAATATTTACTATACCATGGACTGCCAGAAAAATGAACAAATCAGTCTTAGGAGATACACAACCTGAATGTTCCTTAGAAGCGAGGATGGCTAGACTTGGCTCACTTACTTTGGACTTGTCATCAGAAGAGATCAATTGCTGGAGAAGGACATCATGTTTGGTAAAGCAGAGGGTCAGGGAAACAAGGGGGAACTCTCACTGGGATGGACTGACACAATAGTCACAGCAATGGACTCAAATATACCAACGATCATGAAGATGGCACGGGACTGGGCAGTGTTTCATTCTGTTATATGTAAGGTTGCCATGAGTTGGAGTTGATTTGAGGGCAGCTAACAACCTTGGTGGCACAGTGGTTAAGAACTTGGCTGCTAACCAAGAGGTTGGCAGTTTGAATCCACCAGCTGCTCCTTGGAAACCCTACAGGGCAGTTCTGCTCTGTCCTATAGGGTCTCTGTGGATTGGAATGGACTCGATGGCAATTAATTCAATGGGTATAGACTAGTAATTTATCAACAAATATTTATTGAGCACATATACTGTGTTTAAATCAGTCAAAATTTTAAAATGAGTGTGTGTATGCATCTGTGTAGACATGGGCACATAGTTATTTTATATTTTTAGTGAAATTTGTGCATGTTTTTATGCTTAAGCATTTATTCCCTTATAAGCAAACTCTTCTCTGGGCTCATGGTCTCATGTAGGCAATGGAAAGGAATTAAGATCATGTAGAGCAAGAGTAAGTGATCATTGAATTTGGGACTCAGTCAAGGAACTGTTTATATGTAGATAATGGATACTGGGGCATGTAACATATTGGGATGTCAAGAATACTTCATAGAAAAGAACTTGGAAGCTATTGCAGAAGACGTGTCTGAATATGGCAGGATGTTAAGTACTGCTGTGCTTGTATGGTTTCATAAGGTAGTTCCTACATAGTTAGACATTCCTTTCTACTATGTTCCCATCTGTTAAATGAATCTGATAATAGTGCAGGTAACTCATAGAATCTGCTACAGAAAGTGTGCACTCATTATGTAAACATGGCTTTTATTTATTTGTGGGACTTAGATCATCTCTTTGGAATTCATTATGAAATATTAGAGCTATCTTCTGATGCCAGTCTAGTCAGTCAATCTCTTTCAGAGAAAAATGCTCCTACTGCTGGAATAAGAAATCTTCCTTCGTTGTCTAGTTGGGTACTTACCATAGAAGATGGAAAAAATGAGGTGTGAAAGGAAGGCTTTCAGGGCTAGGTGAGTTACTTTATTTTCTTTTTAAAGTCAAATATTAGAATCACATCTTTTTTGTGCTATTTTGTACTTTTTTTTTGCAAAATGTTTAACAGAAATATCTGTGGGCAAGTGAACATGTCAACTTAAACTACTTCAATGGGATCTGAGTTGAAAATATGTGTGCATAAATTTAGCTTACTTTTTAATCTTTAAAGAAGAATTTATTAGATCATCTAGGCATTCTAGGAAACGTTGATTTTACTGCACTGCCCCCAACCCCCAAAAGGACAGTGATTATTTTATGAATAAAATTCTAAAACACAGAGGATAGATCAGCAGTTAGAAATAATAGTTATCTCTAATGACATCGGAAGATAGCATTGGTTTTTTTTTTTTTTTTAATACTTCTATCTTTTGAAGTCATAAAAGGCTAATATAGACTGAAAAATGCATATGATGTGCAGGTGTGGGGTAGGGTGTAACTAATACGGGCTCAGGTAAGAAGCTGCCGTGCATTACTAATGAGAGACACACAGCCAGAGTTGCCTGCAAGTTCTGAAGCTTCAGATGCTGTATGTAGTTAGAAAGCCAGGAATTCCTTTTTGAACTACTTTGTTACATAGCTGTATTTATAAGAATGTGAACACTCTACAAATATACACACTTTTAAGATGCCATCATAGTAAAGACCAACAATTTGGTTACATTTCAGGGAGAAAGGCTACACTGAAATGAACATTGTGAGAAAACTCAATTCAATGATACCTTGGAGTATATTCTTGCTTCATATACTGCTGTTTTCGTTACAAGGTAAGAATTTACATTAAATTTTTACTTTAATCTGTTTCCTTTAATCTCTCTTACAATTGATATGCAAATTTTTCCCTTACAGTGTGAGGCACTTTGAAGCCATTAGAATGGATATATATACTAAATGACATCCAGATCATCTTTTTGAAAATTCTCAATCATGTAAATAATTGGAACATCTAGTGTTTATTTTTTGTCTTTTTTAATGGATAGCTGAAATCAGGCTTTTATTCTGACACACAACTGTGCTGTTAGAAGCTCTGATTCTTTTTCTCTTCTAAAATCTGAGTTAATAGGATTATCTGTCTACATGTAATTTAAACATTTGAAATTTACAATAAATAAGGAGAAATTGAGTGGTTAAATTTTCTTCCTGCCATCAAACCAAGGAGTGATAAAAAGATATTTTAAGAATGACTCTAGCAGTTGAAGCTTAGAATTTACTTTCGATTATTTTTTATAGCTATTTATAAATTAATTTTTATAAAATATTTTTTATGGGGGAAAGCATTTATTTACATTCATTTGTTAGTTTTTACTTTTACTCCCCCAAAATGGCTGTGTGTTTTGGATCCTACAGGGGAAATGGGAGAAATTACTAAGTGTAAAATACTAGAAAGGTCAAAGAAGCTGTCTTCAAATCATAGGAATGACTGAAACTCCTAGGAGAAAGATGTCCTAGAGCATTGAGAGCTAGAGGGGCTCTGGAGATGGACTTGTCCAACACCATCATTTTGTAGTGTGTTTGGTAACTTGCTTAAGCTTGGCATATTCTAAGTGGTAGGACTAGTACTAAAATGTGGATCTCTGTCTCTAAGTCCAGTGTGTGTTCCATTGTATCATGTCTCCATGTAAATTTTTGTGTACATTGCTCATTCTCCCTGGATTATTACTATGATTAATAATCATGATGTCTTATGGGGAATTTGCTGGTCTAAATCCTCAAGAAAATGCAAAACAACCAGCAGCAAAACTCAGTCTAAGTTTAGAATTTAAGTTATAATGGTCTGTTAAATAACCAGAGCATACGATCAAAATATTTGGATAATTTTTTTAAATTCTTACATATTTTTATATATATTTATTTTTTGTACTCTGACAGGATATATTTGTGCATCATCCATATTGACAAGAACATCAAAGTGAGTATTTTTTGTTCTCTATGTCCTTTAAAGCATAAAGTTAATGGAAATGAGCAAAATTCAGCAGAAAACTATATCTAAGTTTATACATTGGAAAAAATAGACTATTTTACAAAAATGCATGAGATGTAGTTCTTAAAAACATTTCCAAGAGTTAAAAATTATCAAGTGTTCCTTTCCTTATTTATGAAACAAAAAACATTTCCTTTCATTTTAATTACAAGAGGAGTTCTTGGTGGTGTCCAATGACTGTAGATACTAAGAAGATATTACTTTCATTGCAAAGGTTTGTAAAGAAGTTTTATTCAGTAATTTCCCCTTTTATATTGTTATTTTATCAATGTACATTTATTGACTACAAGTGTGCTGTATTGTTAACATAGTGAAAAACTTTTTTAATGATTAAAAAGAATAAATTGATTCTAGCAGTAAATAATGAAAATCATATTTAGACTAAACTGGTCTGCTTAATGAAAAGCAGAATTCTATTCAAGATTTGATTTTTTTATTGAGATAAAGTATGTATGTGTATAACAATACATTCGCCATTTCAACCATTTTTACATTTTTAATTCAGTGACAGTTATTACACTACCATTTGATTTTGATAAATCACAATTTGATTTCCTTACATTAATGTTAATCTGCCCTTTATGACATGAGAAAGGAGAGAATTATGTCTGATAAAAGTGAATATGCTCTTGGGAAATACTTACCTCATCAGTTTTATGAAGTCAGGTGGAGAAAATACTATGCCTGTTGGTGCTACAGTGTTACACTATTTTGTTTATTTCTCTATCTCAAAGTTCCTTCCTAAAATTCAGTTTATATCAGAAACTGGAGAGATTTGGGGACACTTCTGAATTTTGTAAAATGAGACAGCCAGCGCCCAAATCTAACTCCTCCAAAAGGGGGCGGGGTGGGGGGGCGCTTTTAAATGTTAAGCCAGAAAGACCTCTTTGATACGGTGATGGAAATCAGGAGGAAAACACCAGCTCTCTCTTGGGAAAGTCTTGTTCAGGTTGCCTAGGGGCCTTTGACTATACAAGTTCTCTTTGTTTTCTTCCAGAAACGGCTTTAATGAAAATCGACAGAAAAGAGCTCTTTTAGCAGCACAGGTAGGTTATGCCTCAGACGGAGAGAGAGGCAGAGAAATAATCCGTTCTGCTGTGGGACTTTGCTGTCACTTCAACAATGAGACCTTTGTGGAGGGGAATAAAATGCTAAAAACAAGACAGGAAGGAGGAAAAAGAAGCAAAGTAACTTTGGTACTGCTTTTCTGCAACCTTCAAATTCATCCACAGTTCCTGTTTACTTGTTTGCAATGAAACACTTTTTGCTATTTACCTCAGTTATCTACTGATAGGCTCACACTATTAATAGGGGATTTCATCTCATCTTCTTGTCAGAAAATTTGAATCAGTTTAAAAATTAAGGACAATGTGAGTCAGGACAATGAAAACAGAACAAGTACAAGTGAGAAAAGGCAGAAAACTCATTGCTGTTGAGTCGATTCCAACTTATGGTGACCTCATGTATGACAGAGTAGAACTGCTCCATAGGATTTTCTTGGCTGTAATCTTTATGGAAGCAGATCATCAGGACTTTCTTCTTTGGCATCACGGAGTAGGTCAGAACAACCAACCTTTAGGTTAGTAGTTGAGTGTAAATGGCAGAAAAGAGTGTAAATGACATGCGTTAAATACTGGAAGGAGTTCCTGGATGGTTCAAACAGTTAATGCTCTTGGCTGCTATCTGAAAGGTTAGTGGTTGGGGTCCACCAAGAGGTGCCTCAGAAGAAAGACCTGATGATCTACTTTTGAAAACCCTATGAAGCACAGTTCTACCCTGGCATGCATGAGGTCACCATGAGTTGGAATCAACTCGATGGCAACTTTTTTTTTTTTAATACTGCAAAAGGGCATCAGAGGTGGCCTGGTATCCTGATAGAGACCTTTCATATTGCCTGATAAATCTAAATTACAGGGATTTCTGGAGAAGTAAGCTTTTTTTTTTCTTTTCTTTTTTTTGGCAGGGAAGGGGGGCACTGAATTTGAGGAGAAGTTTTTACCTGGGCCCCTTTATGTAAAGGATATTGGATAGTATAATAACAGTATCTTTAAACTTTGGTTTGAATGTTCAAATGTTTAAATGTTTAAAATGTTTGAAACGTTTAAAACTTTCTCTATAAAAGATGGATGGTAAAATAGAGAATTTAACTTAGTAAAGGAATTTTTTTGTAAAGTAATATGATTTGAGCATTTATAAACAGTTTAAATATTCAAATAGGTGTTTGCCAAATGCTGGAATGCAATCGGTTTCTACTGGCTTTTTTTTTTGATGGATGCTTGAATGTGTGTATTTTATGGTGTTAATTGAAGAGAATTAATAGAGAAATAGAAGATAGATAAGCTATGTGAGAGTTTAGACGACAGAAGTAATTTATTCTATCAAGAATGGAGCTTTTTTTCTTTTCTTTTTTCTGGTACTAGAATGGCAAAGGATTGTCTATAGAGTGGGAACAACATTTTCCTTAAAAAGAGTGCTTTGTGTACTCAACTACTTAGATATCATGGAAAGTGGTTAAAATGATTTTTGTCTGAGAAATTTTAAGTGCAGGTTTGCCAATAGACCACATTACCCACAAAAAAGAACATTCATGTGATCAGCAGAAAATCTGATGTTGAGGAAAGCTACATTCGGTGAACCCACTAGATCAAGGGACCTGTGACATATACCCCAAAGTTGTGACATAAAGTGACATATACTATTGCCCATCTACATGTTTTTAGAATTTGCATTATGAGTTAATACCATTCCTTCTGCAAATAAATGACTAACACACTCCCTATCTTGATGCCCTTTTAGAGAGCATGAAGAGCAGGGCACTTCTATTTCCTGTAACGAGAGAACATGCATCAAAATCATTTAATATGTACACAAGTTTTAACGAAGAAATGTTAAGAAGGGGAAGGAGGTCATAATCGTGTGTTGGACTGTTTAGGATTGGAATTTCATCTGTTATAAGGCCATTCTTGCCCACAGATTCACTCCCCTGCTCTAGGAAAACACAACACTGCTGACTAGGTATCTGTGCAAGTAAAGATTCAGAAATATGTTAGTTATGAGATGAACAATGAACAAGGAAAGGAGATGCAGACTTCTGTAAATGGCATATTTGTGTGCTGTAGTGATTTCCTATCTAAAGACTGTATTTCTCTGTAATTCTCACCTTCCTGTGGAGACATAGTCAGGATGGAGGAAGAATGGGCTCTCCTCTTAATCAGTTATGTGAATATATGCTCCGATTGCCTGGACTTTTTCACATTTGCATTACATTTCATACCAAATATTCTCCTGAAAGCAGGCCTGAGACATAGACTTAGGTGCAGGATTTTTAACTGGGTGGTTTTCCAAAAGCACAAGTGGGGAAGGGAGAAAAGTGAGACAAGGAAGGGAGAAAAACTAATATAGGGGGTATTAACCAAAATAGGGTGCTGTAGGCACTTGGGGATCAGTCCTGTTGGGGACCCTCTGAAGAACTGTGTAGAATGTGTCTTAAAATTGTTTCTCCAAGGAATGGGCAAGCTAGGGTATTTATCTACCACTTCCTGTCTCTCATTGGTTGAGGGTGGCCTCTGAGAGGCTTAAATCCTCTGGAAGGCACTTCCTATGGTCTGTAATACTTGAGCTCTGCTCTCAGGCAGAGACAGGAAGAAGCTGGTGCTTGAAGTTGGGGGTCTCAGTGTGCACAGAAGCCCGGATGCAGGTGAATTTCAAGGTGGGCTGAGGGAAGGTGGGAAGGGGCATCAACAGCATCTACTATGGTCATGGTTTCAAACAGCCTTGGGAGGCAGGTAATTCCAATGGAGCGATGTCTTTTTTCAGTTCAGGTGGTATGTGTTGACAAAATAATAGGGACTGTGCTAGAGATGGAAACCCTGGTGTCGTAGTGGTTAAGTGTTATAGATGCTAACCAAAAGGTCGGCAGTTCGAATCCACCAGGCGCTCCTTGGAAACTGTATGGGGCAGTTTTATTCTGTCCTATAGGGTCGCTATAAGTCGGAATCGACTTGACGGCAGTGGGTGTTTTGGGTTTTGGTGCTAGAGATATAAACATGAACTGCAATGCCTGTTATCTAGAAACCCAGTGTCTAGTAGTGGTAGGCGTGTAGAGATTTAAATTCTGTGTAACTGGTTTGTTGAATCTAAGGCACCATTAGTTATTTGCTATTATTTATGTAACAAAAAATAAAAAATACTCTCAATTACAATTATAAATGTAAGATGCCATGCTGAGTTCAGAGATGTTAAAAAAGTTAAAGCTGTGTGTTGTGTCAGCATTGGGGAAATGTTGTATTATGATGCATGAGATGCTGTGATAATTAGGAGGAAGGACCCCAATCTAGGCTGATCTGCTAGGAAGTTATCAAAATTTCCATGGAAGAAAAAAAAACAAAAAAAACCTCCAAACCCGTTGCCATCGAGTTGATTCCGACTCATAGAGACCCTATAGGACAGAGTAGAACTGTCCCTTAGAGTTTCCAAGGAGCATCGGGTGGATTCATACTGCCGACCTTCGGTTAGTAGCTGTAGTCTTAACCACTATGCCATCAGGGTTTCCTCCATGGAAGAGGTGTGGCCTAAATTGGATGAGAGGATATTAAGCAAAAAACAAATTTTTTTTCCTTTGTCAAGCGTTGTCCAATGTATTGTTTTTACCTAATAATAAAATATGTAGCATATTTAAAGCCTTTATTATGTTCCAGGTACTGTTTTTGTTTTTTTAATTACTTCATTTCGTTTAATCCTCACAATTGTGTGAGGTAGGTACTAATATCATTCCATGTTCTAGATTGGGAAATTGAGGCTGAGCAGGTTAGACAATTATAAACAATTATAAAAAAAATATAAACCTGTATGAGACAGAGTTGATTTTGAGGTCATTATACATTTTTCATAAGCATCATAGATGGTTGATTGGTTTCCATTAGAGGGGTTGGTATAAGCCATTTTGGAGCCAAAGTTGCAGAATTTTGGTGTTTAGTAATATTGAGAACCCGTTGCCGTTGAGTCGATTCTGACTCATAGAGACCCCATAGGACAGAGTAGAACTGACCCATAGGGTTTCCAAGGAGCGGCTGGTGGATTTGAACTGCTGACCTTCTGGTTAACAGCCGAGCTCTTAACCACTGTGCCAGCAGGGCTCCCTGTTAAACATAGACAACTGGAAACAATGTGGCTGAAGAAAGAATAAGAATTGCTATCTCAGGGGAAACAAAATCATAGATTGTTGAAATTCTAATCTACTTTGAAGAAAGAGACAAGGGCAAACGGGAGATTGAGCGGTATAGATAAAACCTAAGAGGATTAAGAGCAGGAAACAATGAATTTGGAACTATGGTGTAAGGCAAGGAGCTTAGAAACGAGCCTTCAGTTTATGAGAGAGTATGGGAGTCTTTTTATCTGGTATGGGGCAGGCTTGCCTGTTAAAAGAAAATGAAACTTTGCATTTGGAGGGAGACCAGAATATGCTGAGAAGGAACTTTTGTACCTGAAGTCACATTCTCCATCCCGCTTCCTTCTTAACCTTCACCCTCCTCCAGTTTTTCTAACCTCATTTTGTTTTCTATCTGACAATTACAGGCAAAATTTGGATGTGTGTTTTTTTCTGGTCCACATCAGAAATGTTATTGGAGAGGATATTGCCCCAGATCATTTGTCAAATTGGCATCGAGTTGGAATAATACTCATTTATTAGTTTTAGTAGTCTATAATTATTTGCTACTAAGGCATACCTGTTGCCTTCAAGATGATTCTGACTCACAGCCACCCTATAGGACAGAGTAGAACTGTCCCATAGGGTTTCCAAGGAGTGGCTTGTGGATTCGTACTGCTGACCTTTTGGTTAGTAACTAAGCTCTTAACCATTTTGCCACCAGGTCTCCTACTAAGGCATACTGACCTTTAAAACTCTTAAGGTTTTATCTGGGTTGCTTAGATTAACATAAATCTCTTTATTGCTGATTTTCTATGTGTGAAACACTATGCTAAAAGCTTTATGTACATTGTTTTAATTCATTGTTGTAACTACACATTGAAGTAGACACCATTATTATCCCAGTTTACAAATGAGTAAATCGAGGCACTAAGAGGTTAGGGAAACTTGCCTAAGAGAAGAAATGGCAGAAGCAAAACTTTAATCCAGGTCTGATTCTGTAATTCATGCTCTTGATTCAGGGACCTGAATTGCCTTGGGGTCTTTAAGAAGATACATTTAAAGGCTGTATGAACTTTAAAGTGTCAGCTCTTGGGAGACTGAGTGTCACACTGACCCTGTAGCAGCAGATGCCTCTGTGGATGGTGTCTTCCTAAATGGGACTGCAGGCAGGAGGGCTTCCACTGCCTGTTCGTCCACCAGCCACTTGCATTTTCTCTAGACCCAACTGCATTTGGAAGTCTTAGAAACTGCTATTTCTGCAGGCAAAGCAATTGGTTAATCCAAAGATTACATCCAGCTAGGCTCCTTCCACAAAGGTGGGGTGACGGAGAAGAACTGAGGTCAGAGAGGGTAAAGGACTTATCAAAGCCATGTAAGAGACAAAACCAAGGCTTGAAATACGGTTTTCTAATCACAACCCTGAAGCCCTTTCTGCCTCAATGAGATTGCCTCAATAACCCAGGGAAATATAAAGTCAACACGTTAGGCTATAATTTCTGTATTTGTAGCTAATTTTCAGATTTTTAATTTGCATATTTGGTTTGAATTCAATAAATTAACCGTTTTAAATTCTTATTTCTTTCTTTCAAAGTTTGAAGCAACTTCTTCAAGATATTTTTTCCATGAAGCCGTTAATTGGGGTGAGAGCAAAATAAAAGGTCAGTGCTACACCTATGTTTTTGTATCTGCTTTCTCAAAAGACCCCTTTTGGGAATACATTGAATCGACTCTTTATTGCTTCCATATAATACATGGATGAAATCGAGCCAGGGTGGTAACAATACTTAGTAACAAAGTTCTGTTCAAATAGAAATCCATCTTATTTTTTGAAGTAACCAAAACTAGACACTTAGACGGAGCTGATAATTCCATGACAAGAGAAAGCAGCCCTGGATATCAGAAATTTTTTTCTGCATCAGTTACTTGGTTCTTGATTCCTTGGCATCCCTATTTTTGCTTACCAGTTTCCCATTTCCATTAAGCAGAATACGAATGGCAATTTGAAATTTAATTTGAGTGGTAACTTTGAAATGGAAATTCTTATCACTGCATTTAAAATAATGATCCTCACCAGTTTTGGCTTGTTAATTTTTTTTCAGGAGAATAAACATGGTAGTAAATAATTTTTTGAAGGAGATGTATTTGTTAATCTAAATGTTTAGGCATTTATTCTTAGGGAAAATGTAAGATTGTGATCTAAGATAAAATTTAAATATAGATGTGCCCCATAGGATAAAAGTCCTGGGCATTTAAGTTTATGATAATCATCACTTTTAGACCTATATTTATGATCAAAGTTAAAACAACTAATTTTTCTCAGTTAAGATACACTTAGAGATTTGTATGTTTTTAAATGTAAAGAAAAATTTTAGTTCAATAGATCTTAAGGTGGAAAGGAATTAAACAGGGTTTTCTAATTCTTGCTTTCGGCAGAACTGTGGTTAAATTTTCCCATTTAGATAACTGTTTTCCATAACCTAAACATATTCCACAGCTGCCCAACTTCTTTAGTAATCCTTAATGGTGACTCAGAGACATTCTCTAATTCTCCTGATGAGTTACTTAAATCCCTCCTGCTTGAGTTTTACCAGTTGCCTTGTGTCCTGTCCTTAACAGAGGAAAAATTTTCACTCTGATTCATTTGCATCTTTCAAGCCTGCTCAGGAGATGATGGTAAAATTCGGGTCAGGGCTCGTAGTTATTTGCTTCCTCTTTTTAACATAATCCTTTAGGCTGATTTTTTTTTTCCATGGAAGAGAATATTTTTGTTGATAGCCAGCAGTGACTTTGGCTTCTGCCTCATCAAAATTAAACATGCATCATTTGTAACTGAGCCTGAGGATTAACACACCAACTTCAAATGAAATTTTAATCCTTCTCCAAAGCAGATGTTCCTTTTGATTTTTATGCTTTACCTGACCCCTTGAGCTAATGATGGAAGCTATTCTTGTAGTGCAGTACTTGCTTCTAGAGAAGGAGGTGAGCGGATGTGCAGCCAGTGCCAAACTCCGTCAACAGAATCATCTGCAGCTTGTGTATCTCTGGTTCTCATCATCTGGGACAGGGATTCCTTACATGGGAACTTGACCTTTCAATTGCTTAAAAGAGGCTAACCTTTGCTCTCGCGTAGTTTGAGATGTGAAAGCCTATCTTTCTTGCTTCACAGCACACATAATGAAATGATCTAGAGACTTGACGGGTTTAATTCTTTAGCTTGTCAAGGCAAGAAGCCCAGGTTTCTGTTTGAGTTAACAGTGGTTAATCCTGATGTATTATGTTTATAAGAGCTGAGGCATGCCAGAAGATAATTTATTTTTTTGCCCCACAGGTTCTTGTCCTCATGAATGCCTTAACGGAGCTTTCTGTTCCAAGACTGGTACATGCGACTGTCAAATATTTCAGGCGCTTGGGACAAGGTGCCAGATTAGTAAGTTTCAGGAATATTTATGAGAAAATTGTGTGATATGGAAAACATTATGGCATAATTTGCTTTGGTAGTGCACGTTCATTGAGAGTTGGGCCAAACATATAGTATATTAACTAGAATGTATACAATTCATTCTCAGTAATTTGAGGTAGTTTAGAAAAAATATAAAGAAAATAGATATGCCTATTTCCTTGTCTCACAGGTCTCGACTTTTCTATTTCCTTAGTTACTTTTTCTACTTTAGATTTTTTTTTTTTTTTTTTACGATTCCAACTCATGGCAACCCAGGTATGTCAGAGTAGAACTGTGCTCCTGAGGGTTTTCAATGGCTGATTTTTCGAAAGTAGATTAACAGGACTTTCTCCCGAGGCACCTCTGGATGGACTTGAACCTCCAGCCTTTCTGTTAGCCACTGAGAGTGTTAACTGTTTGTACCATCTAGGGACTCCTAAAACCAGATTCTCATTCATCTCTCCTTTGCTTTATAAATTAGATTTGTTATTTGGAGCCACTCATTCTTTTTTCACTTTGAATTAATTGGCATTGTGTCTATAAATGGAAATAGTATTGAGAGCTCCTCAAGGACAAGGAATCTTTTTTATTTTTAAAATCTTTTTATCCACAGTGTCTAGCATAGAATTCTAGAACAATAAATGTTCATTTGTTTAATGAGTATTTACTGAGCACTTACTAGATCTCAGGCTAAGCACTGGGGAAACAATGGTGAACAAGAAAGACGTGTGGAGGTTACAGTCTAGATGAGGCACTTACCACACAATGGATACACAAATAATTATACTTGCGAAATGTGCTATAAAGGAAGGTAGAAGATGCTATGAAAATATGCAGTAGAGGTAGGGGTGCTGTCAGGCAAGACTGTCCTGAAGAATAAATCACTGTGTTTTTTCCTGCAAAGGCCAAAGTTGGCCAAGGCCAACTGACTTAGGTAAAAGCTACAAAGAGAAAGATTGTATCTTAATTATTGTTATGCTCCTTCAGAGAGCATATCAAAACATTTTGCACATATTGAGTGCTCAGTAAATGTTATTGATTTTCATATTATTCAAAAGGGAAGGGTTTAGCAAATAAAAATAGAATAAAGGGTTATCCACAAGGGTAAGAACAGGCATAGCATGATGACAGGATATGAAGTTGTTTGATTTAAGATGAACATTGCTTGAAATTTGGCCAAGGTTTGAAGTCAGGAATTCCTAAATTCCTGCATATTTTGGATGACTAATGTTCCCAATCCCTAGGTCCCAGACTTATATACATGAGTTTTTGTCGGTGGCTATTTTTCTCTGTGAATACCATAAAATAATTTTGAAAGAATTGTGCAGGCTGGAACACTCTAATGCTGTCTATGCTAATTTTTAAGACATTTCTTTTTTTTCTGAGCCACTATGTTTACTTTATCTCTACCACTTTCTTTTGCTGTTATCATTTCCTCTATTCTTCCTTTCTTCTAGAGTCTTCTTTTTGGAAGCAAAAATTAAGAAAGTTGCTAACATAGTTCCTGTCTTCATAACAACTTGAGACCCTGTTTTTCTTCAAGGGAATTTTATAATTTTGAAAGAAACTTGTAATTTTATCTGTTAGTTATTTCTTCCTTTCTGTAGATCACCAAAGAAAGAAAATATTTATTTTAATGGAAATTGGAGTCACCTGCCATGCCTGAAGCTTGCCAGAAACATGTGTAATTGATTTTATTCTACTAAATATCATCCTATCTCTTTTCAGTCCCAAACATGGGCAATGGCAGAGATGGAATTTGCAAAACCTGGGGACAGTACCACTTTGAAACATTTGACGGAATCTACTATTACTTCCCAGGAAACTGTTCGTACATTTTTGCAAAGGATTGTGATAATTTGGAGCCTCAGTATACAGTATGGGTAGGTGATCCCTAGGACACAACTTGTTTCTGAAAAAGTGTATATTTTTAAATTATTGGGCAAATGATGGAAAATATATAATCATAGTATGAATACTCAGGGCCCTGACAGAGGAAGGAGAGGGGCTGGTACCTAATGGGGTGGAGCAACTTTGTGGCTAGATTGAGTATAATTCCATCAAGGTGAGGTCTAGAGCTGGGAGAGGTAGGATTTAGATATGGCAAGGACTTACAGGTAATGCAGAAATGTCTATATCACTGATGTCAAAAGAAGGCTACCATTCATGAACTGGAGTATATGAAATATGTGAGTACAGGCTATGGGATACAGAGATAGGGAGCTAATTGCTAGATAGATTGGTATGATTGGACTTGGACAATTAGTTTTCAGTTGCAGATGCTTGAATCAAAAGAATTCTTGGGAGATACCTCAAAATGCAAGCTGCAGAGCTGCTCTAGTTGAAGTAATGGAGTCAGGACATCTTTCTTTGATCACCATCTTCCCCTGAATTTCTAGGTATCTCAAAGCACAACTGGGAAATTGCTGTGCTGTCCTGTTCAAAAGCTAATGCCCTCCATAGCTGTAATTTGTTTGAATCTCTGTTTTCTTTTCCCTTCTGATTTATGTTGGAGTTGCCTAAATTCTCCTCTTCTGGGTGATGCAGATATTAAAGCAGGCCCTGAAGCTCTTTAAGGGCAACATATCCTTGTGTGACCCAGAAAAAACATGAAATATAACAGAAGTTAATTTATGGAACATAAGGATACAAAATTAGAGGCCTTTCTAGATAGGGAAGTTAATAAAGTAAATCTTCAGTGCTTACAGGGATCCCATTCTCAGATGCCTCATTGTCCTTTACTCCCTTGCCCTCTCGCTGGTTTTATCACTCCAGTCCCTTCTGACTCCCTCGTTGAAATGTTCTTGTCCAATATCTCACCCTTTTGAGAAGTAAGGTGTCAACTAGGTAATCTATCCTTTGATAATAAAATACAATGCTGAACTTTGCTTCAAGGATTAATAGACATTGTTTCTACTTGGCCTTGTTTGGTTTGGTAGAATTTGCTTCCAAATCAACAAATCCGCTTATTTCAAATGTCATCTTCCCCTGATTATAAAAGTAGTACACTTTTTTTTTTTTGGTAGAAAATTTAGAAAACTTAGAGAAGTATAAGAATAATATTAGAATTGTCAGTCATGAGTTACCTTTATTAATGGCTTCATGTATTTCCTTCTAGACTTTTTCCTCTGGATTTTATAGATATCTATGAAATTGGAATCATACTATGTATAATTTTCTGTCCTGCATTTTCACTTAATATTATATAAGAACATTCTTCCATGTCATATAATTTTGGTAAACACAGATTTTCTTAGCCGCATTTGTTCCAATTTATGCAATACTCAACAAATTTTACCTATGTCCTGTTTTGGAAATTTATATTTTTGCATACTTTCAATATTTTAAGAGATGTATTGATAAACGTCTCTATGCATATATCCTTTTTATACTCCTGATTATTTTCTTTTTCTTCTTCAAATTCAATTTTCTTTTTATGAAAATAATAATAGTTTAAAAGATTTCAGCGAGGCATACAAAGAAAAAGCCTCTGCCTCCCTTCACTCTCCACTCCCAGATGGGCTGACTTCTGGCTCCCTGGGGTGATTACTTCAACTTTTTAGCTGTTTCTTCTGGCTTTGTCTTTATATATCAAAATAATATGGTATTTTCAAAGTTAGGCATTATTCATTCATTCTTACTGTGGGAAATGAGGAATCATGTCACTGATGCCAGACTTTCTGCCCCTAACAGACACACACACACACACACACACACACAAACACACGCACACACGCACGCACCCTCCACCCTCTCCTTCCCTCTTCCCAACAGAGTTATATCACCACTTTAGGTTAAATCAATATGTCATTTTACATTATTAGCACTAGGTAAATATTGTTTAGAGATGAGCCTGATGGGTTATTATGCTTTTATTTCTCTTGTACATTTTTATTGAGTTAACAGTTACTCCATTTTTTTCTCCAAACTGTTTGTCTCAATGAGACTATTGTCAATATGGTCAGATGCATTTGAAAAATCTTATCTTTTCCCTTCCTGGAGACATCCCTTCCTAAGTCGTTTGTTCTTCTGCTCCAGTGGGGACTGGTTGCTTGGAGGCCTTCTAGACTGCTAGCATTTGGGACTTCTCTTCACTGTCCTCCTGAAGAATTTCCTTCATTTTTCTCCCGTATTGGTTTCACTGTTTCTTGAATTTCATCAAATGTCTAATGATCCTGAAGCATTCATTCATATTTGGGAGATAGGCTTTAAAAAGCTGATTGGATGCTCTGAATATATGGACAGGACTTGTTTGTAGTGGTGATTGAGCAGGGATCCATGTTTTCTTTTTTGGTTTCATCTTTTGTTTTCATTGACTGTGCTTTCAAGTTGCTTCCTGGAAGGGGAAGATAATTTCCTGGAAAGGGTTCAAGTGAAAGAAAATTTTTAAACCTTGACTCTAATTTGGAAATCATGTTTTTGCAGAATTTTCAACATCAATCCATTTTGATTTCTGATCATTTTGCATACAACCATTTATCTCCCTCTCTCTCTGGAAGCTTTTAGATCTTTTCTTTGTCCCTAGAGTTCTGAGACTTCATGATTGTGTGAGTAGTTTTATTTTATTTTTTTCCATTTAATGCACTGGATACTTGATGGACTCATTCAAGATTTATAATTCATTGCTGGAATAGTAGATTATATCTTTCTTAATGACATCTCTGTTTCAGAAATTCTGTAATTCAGATATTAGAACTCCTGCATTGAATGACTTATCTTTTAATTTTCTGTTGATTCTTGTTTATTTTCCATCTTTTTGCTTCTTGTCCATTTTGGGAGATTTCTTTCCAACTTCGTATATTTACCTTTCAACCTTCCTATTTTGTTATGTTTCATCCTATCCTATTGTCAATGTTAAGTAATTAATTTTTATGCCTTGAATTCTGTTTTTAACAGCATTTTATTTTTGTTTCTGGAATACTATATACTCGCTTTTCTCTCTAAAGGTACTTACTATGAACTTCTGGAAGTTTCTTCAGCTTCCTGTTTTCTTTTCTTTCTTTTTTTTTTTTTGATTCCTTTGATTTCCTTTCTTTGGTTTGTTTGGTGTTTGCCTTTTTTTGTTGCAAACTTTCATCAAATGACTAATGATACTTGAACATTTGCTCAATTTGAGAATTAGGCTCTAAAAGTTGATTGGTAGTCCTAAATATATGATTGAAGCTTGTTAGTCTAGTGGAAGATCAAGGAGGGAGCCCCTCGGTTTATTAGTAAAGCCCCAGATATTTCTATCTGTATGTCTTTTCTCTGGAGACATTTTGTTTCTCCAGAGAAGAATCCTTCATTATCCTGCCTGTGATCAGATGTCTGGATACTGCAGGCATTTTAGATATGCTTCTACCTCAAGCTTTCAGACCTACTATTCCCTTTATCTGGAATGATCTTCTCCCAGATATCCATATGGCATGCTCCCTTGTTTCCTTCATCTTTACTAAAATGTCATCTTCTAAGTGAGGTCTTTCTTGGTCATTTAATCTAAAATTCTGTCTAAACTTTGATACACTCTCTGTCCTCTTTACCTCCTAATGTTTCTTCATGGCTTTTATCATCGTATAACATAGCATATATTTTATTTTTTTATATTAACTGTCTTCCTCTAATAGACTCTAAATTCCATAAGGGCAAGGATTTTTGTCTGTTTTGTTGATTTTATATTTTTAGAATTTAGAACCGTGTTTGATACATAAGAAGTGACCAATAAATATTTGTTGATTAAATATTAAATGAATATACATTAAATTCTTGCAGTATTAAAACTCTGTTTTATAATTGGTGATTTTTCCTATCACTTTTATGCTTAGAAAATTCTTTCCCAGCTAAATAGTCATCTGCGTCTTCTTTTAGTTACATTATGGTTTCACAATTACGTATTACTTTTTTGTGCATCTGAAATTAAATTTGGTTTGTTGTTGTCATTGTTGGTTGCTGTCGAGTTGATCCCGACTCATGACAACTCCATGTGTACAGAGTAGAACAGCTCCATAGGGTTTTCAAGGCCGTGTGACCTTTCTTCTGAGGCGCCTCTGGATGAGTTCAAAACGCCAGCCTTTTGGCTAGTAGTCCAGCACTTAACCACCACCCAGAGACACCTAAATTTGGTTTAGGGTATCAGAATCTAACATGCATTTTCTCGTGTGTTCTCTTCGTTTCTCTTTTCCTCTCACTGTTTTCTTTCTTACTCTCTTTTTTTGTTTTACTAGTAAACAAAATTTTCCTTCAATTTTTGAGGAACAATCTCTCCCTTTCCCAAAGTGTCTGGGGAATTTTAGTGTTAGTAAGTTATAGTCACTTTTGCAACACCCAAATATTGCTTTGCACAGAGCTCCTTTTTAAGCTGTATTTCATGATTCTCTAATAGGTGAAAAATATGAATATCAAGATTGCAAATATGTTTCTTTGTGGTCCACTACAATTTTCTTATTAGATCTAATTAGTTCCACTACATACCATATAGCTTTAATGTTAACATCCAACATGTAAAGATATAAAAAAAAAATTAAAATATGCTAAATTCATTTGTGTTTTATGAAATCAATTCTGTTGTTCAATTTATGAGCTAAGTATTTATTTTCTCTCAATTAGACTTGCCATCTTCATTAGAGAAAGCATTTTTTCCTTTGGTTTTAAACTTTCCATTGGTAATGTAAGCAAATCCTAAATGTAGTTAGAGATAATTTTGTAAAATGTCATGGAACTAGTTATGCTATAGAACTGTAAACATACATTGTAGTTTTAGTAACTCAAATGAAGATATATATGCTTTTTTTCCCTCCCTTTAAGGTTCATAATAGCCCTAAATGCCTTGGTTCAGTATATTCTTGTTATCGATCAATCAGCTTGTTCTTTTCAAACCAAGAGGAAATTCATATTTATGGTCATGAAATAAAGAAGAATGGAATCAGGTAAGATCTGAAAGTAATATAATGAGAAAACAAACAAACACCACAGGTGAACAGAATTTTCAAACATCGCACACTGGAAGTGAAATGTCGAGAATAGAAAGGATTTATTATTCAACAGTAACCTTGATACTATATCATACAGGCATCAGAATTTCAGTAGGCTGTGAGACCAACCAGGTGGCCAAAAATCTAACCAGTTTAACCTCCCTAATGCTCGTGTAGGATACAAATATGTTTACATAAGTGGAGAATAGATTATCACATCTTTTTCTAAGAGAAATTCAGGAGAAAATGTTATACTTAACCTCTTTGATGATTTTTACTTTCTCCTCCCCACCTCTGTTCTGTTCTCCCGTCCTGCCCTCCTTTCCTCCCTCTGTTCCTTCTTTCTTTCCTTAAGCAAGAACTGAAAAGAAAACTAAATCTCTGGAAGTCCTTTCCAGATCTGTGTGAATGAGGTATGGGTGTCAGTTGAGATTTTTCATTAGTGTTCTGAGAAGGACTCAAAGCCAATAAACAATGGGCCTTCCTGAGTAGGATCAGAGAAAAGCCTGCTTCCCAGCTTCCTATCTGCCAAGAATGTGACCTGAGAGTTTTGGGGAAGGGGATGCTTGTTTCTTTGACAAAAGGCTTTATATATGTTAAACTAGGAATACAGTGGATCAGTTTACCTATCAATCTAAATATTTGTAGAGAGATACTCAATTTTAAATATTTACCTGGCTGAGTTATGTCAGAAAACCAAAATTCATTCAGAACTCACTCTCAAGTGTTTGAACCATGGGGATTCTTTCCAGTGCAAAGGCCTTACCAAGATGCTTTTTTTCTCAGAGTGTATATTCCTCAGAGGCAGCAAGTAGTAGTAGAAAGGGTTTTAGAGAAAAACACCAAAAGAGCTAGGCATTTATCCATGTTTTGTCACAGTCGGGAAACCCAGAGCAATCCCTCTGCTTCCTGGGGGCTTATTTTATTGATCAATTGGGCTCTACATGTCTCATTTTCTTCTAAAAGAAAGCTTACCCATTGAAATAGGAAGATAAGTATTTTCATATGTATTTCCTGGAGCTGAATTTAACTAGTAATTTAAAGGTTCTTATATGGGACTTTAGGTAATATATAAGCACTTAAAAAAAATTATTGTAGTTTGTAAAACAAAAATGCCTTTCAAATAGTTTTTTTTTAAGAATATTAACCCTTTGTAAAGTCAAGGCCATAATATTTATTTTTTCATTTTTTATTGCACTTTAGATGAAAGTTTACAGAACAAATAGTTTCTCATTAAACCGTTAGTACACATATTGTTTTATGACAATGGTTAACAACCCCACAACATGTCAATACTGTCCCTTCTCGACCTTGGGTTCCCTATGACCAGCTTTCCTGTCCCCTCCTGCCTTCTAGTCCTTGTCGCTGGACTGTTGTACCCCATTAGTCTAGTTTTGTTTTATGGGACTGTCTAATCTTTGGCTGAAGAGTGAATGTTGGGAGTGACTTCATTACTGAACTGAAAGGGTGTCCAGGGACCATACTCTTGGGGTTTCTCCAGTCTCTGTCAGACCAGTAAGTCTGGTCTTTTTTTTGTGAGTTAGAATTTTGTTCTGCATTTTTCTCCAGCTCTGTCTGGGACCCTCTGTTGTGATCCCAGTCAGAGCAGTCATTGGTGGTAGCTGGGCACCATCTAGTTGTACTGGACTCAGTCTGGTAGAGGCCATGGTAGTTGTGGCTCATTAGTCCTTTGGACTAATCTTTCCTTTGTATCTTATTTTCTTCATTCTCCCTTGCTCCCGAAGGGGTGAGATAAGCGGAGTATCTTAGATGGCTGTTCACTAGCTTTTAAGACCCAGATGCTGCTCACCAAGGTAGAATGTAGAACCTTTTCTTTATAAACTGTTTTATGCCAATTGAGCTAGATGTTCCCCGAGACCATGGTCCCCACAGCTCTCCGCCCAACAGTTCAGTCCCTCGGGGGTTTTGATGTATCTGTGGAGCCTCCATGAGCTTTCTTTGTACAAGTTGTGCTGGCTTACCCAGTATTATGTAATGTCTTACCTTTCACCAAAGTTACCATTTATCTATTGTCTATTTAGTATTTTCCCCCCACCCCTCCCATCGCTCATAACCAACAAAGATTGTTTATTTCTGTGTATAAACTTTTCATGAGTTTTTACAGTAGTGGTCTCATGCAATATTTGTCCTTTTGTGATTGACTTATTTTACTCAACATAATGTCCTCCAGTTTCATCCATGTTATGAGACGCTTCACAGATTCATCATTGTTCTTTATTGTTGCATAATACTCCATTGTGTGTAAGTACCATAGTTTGTTTATCCATTCATCTATTGATGGGCATCTAGGTTGTTTCCACCTTTTTGCTATTGTGAACAATGCTGCAGTGAACATGGGTGTGCATATGTCTATTCGAGTGACGGCTCTTATTTCTCTAGGATATATTCCTAGGAGTGGGATTGCTGGATTCTATGGGGATTTCTATTTCTAGATTTCTAAGGAAACACCATATCATTTTTCAAAATGGTTGTATCATTTTGCATTCCCACCAGCAGTGCATAAGAGTTCTGATCTCCCCGCAGCCTCTCTAAAATTTGTTATTTCCAACTTTTTTGATTTGTGCCAGTAATGCCAGGGTGAGATGGTATCTCATTGTGGTTTTGTTTGCATTTCCCTAATGGCTAGTGATCGCAAGCATTTCCTCATGTGTCTGTTGGCCACTTGAATGTCCTCTTTGGTGAAGTGTCTGTTCATTTCCTTTGCCCATTTTTAAATTGGATTATTTATCTTTTTGTTGTAGAGGTGTTGGATTTTCTTATAGATTTTAGAGATTAGACCTTTGACTTGTGATGTCCAAAAATCTTTTCCCAGTCTGTAGGTTCTCTTTTTACCCTTCTGGTGAAGTCTTTTGATGAGCATATGTGTTTAATTTTTAGAAGATCCCAGTTATCTAGCTTATCTTCGGGAGTTTGTGTGTTGTTGGTTATGATTTGTATCCTGTTAATGCTGTGTATTAGGGCCTCCAGCATCGATCCTATTTTTTCTTCTATGAACTTTATAGTTTTTGGCTTTATATTTAGGTCTTTGATCCATTTTGGGTTAGTTTTTGTATATGGTGTGGGGAATGGGTCACGCTTTATTTTTTTTGTAGATGGACATCCAGTTTTGCCAACACCATTTGTTAAAAAGAATGTCTGTTCCCAGTTTGATGGAATTTGGGCCCTTGTCGAAGACCACAGGACCATAGGTGGATAGTTTTACATCTGGGTTCTCAATTCTGTTCCATTGGTCAATGTATCTGTTGTTGTACCAGTACCAGGCTGTTTTGACTACCATAGCTGTTTTGTAGGTTTTGAGGTCAGATAATGCAAGTCCTTCTACTTTATTCTTCTTCTTCAGTAGTGCTTTACTTATCTGGGGCTTCTTCCCTTTCCAAATAAAGTTAATGATTAGTTTTTCCATCTCTTTGAAGAATGTTGTTGGTATTTGGATTAGAATTGCATTGTATTTGTAAATTGCTTTGGTAGAGTTGTCATTTTCACAATGTTGAGTCTACCTATCCATGAGCATGGTATGTTTTTCCATTTATGTAGATCCATTTGGGTTTTTTGCAGTAGTGTTTTGTAATTTTCTTTTTATAGGTCTTTTACATCTCTGGTTAGATTTATTCCTAGGTATTTTATGTTTTTAGGTCTATTATAAATGGTATTATTTTCCTGATTTCCTTTTCATCGTTCTCTTTATTGGTGTATAGGAATCCAACTGATTTTTGTATGTTTATCTTGTATCCTGTTACTCTGCTGAATCTATTAGTT